AAAAAAAAAAAAACAATTTTAGCTAAAACATTCCTTCCTCAGGTAGGACTCCTCTGATCTTTCCAAATAGGTCAAACTTACCCATTATAGTCTTTCAGAGCATCATTTGCATTCTTCGCCTTCTTGTGATATTCATCACAAGTTGAAAGATTACATTTGAATTATTTGATTAACATCCATCTCTTCTTTTTCCATGAGAATAGCAATCTTATCTATCATTGGTCTCTGCTTAGTGCCTCAATGACTATTATTGCCTGAGTATGTCAACAAACAAGTTAACTATGATTTGGGGACCTTCTGAAAAAAGGAAGTAAAGAGAAGACTTAAAGAAATTATACATCACTTTTTATTATCAAAACAGTCAGATCAGCTACACTGCCAAACTAGAATCAGGAAGTGTTCCAAAAATTGTTCCCTTTTAAAAAGAGAAATGCAATTGCATTACCAGTTCTACATGAACTCAGCCATCTATAGCAAGAAGGTAGATCCTGAACCTTGTGCCACAGAGATGAGGCAGAGGATACTGTGCAATTACCATATCAGAAGAAGAAAACAGATCCTACAAAATGTGACTCTCATTGCCTATGGTGATGACATTATTTTATGTAGTAGACTAAAAATAAGAATACAAAGATGATCCCCGTTGTTGTAGGAAGTGTCAGACATTTTACACACACAGTTGAAGTAACACATCACCCTCTTGCCCAGAGCATCAGTGGGGAAGGTGAAGGAAAACAGTAGATGGATCCAGTGATTATTTTGTCATTCCAAGTTCTGATTCCATCTGGGGCCTCATGGGGGTGACAGAAACACACTAGCAATAAGACACCAAAAATAAAGGTAGAAAGGCCCAGAGGCCATCAGAGTAGAAACCTGTACAGTTATTTAGAATTGAAGTAAAAAACATCAATTTCAAAGCAATCATATATAATCTACTTTTCAAAAATATCTCTAAAAAGCTAGTAAAAAATGAAAGTTCAATCTGGCATAATTAACTTGATTCCTGAGTTTAAAGCCACATAAAATCCTATATCAAAAAAAAGTTTTTGGCCAGATGTGGTAGCTCATGCCAGTAATCCCAGCACTTTGGGAGACTGAGGCAGGAGGATCGCTTGAGGCCAGGAGTTCAAGACCAGCTTGAGCAAGAGTGAGACCCTATCTCTACAAAAGAAATAGAAAAATTAGCTGAGCATAGTGATACATGTCTGTAGTCCCAGCTACTTGGGAGGCTGAGGCAGAAGGCTCACTGAACTTGAGGTTTCAATGAGCTATGATGATGCCACTGCACTCCAGCCCAGGTGACAAAGTGAGACCCTGTCTCAAGAAAAAGAAGATTTTTCTTGGCCAGGTGTGGTGGCTTATATTAGTAATCCCAATGCTTTTGGAGGCTGATGTGGGAGGAGCACTTGAAACTAAGAGTTCAAGACCACCTGGGATGCAGAGTGAGACCCTGTCACTAAAAAAAGTTTTTATTCATGCTATTTTACATTAATACAGTAGAAAGCTGCTGGTTTTTAAAAATGTATCAAAATCTTAGAGTATGTATTGAAAACTCAGAGATCATTCACAAGTCACAGTATTGAGTAGTGGTCTGTAAATTGTTTATTCTTAGCTGTTTAGAAACTGTCAACTCTTGGCTCGGCACCTGTAGCACAGTGGTTATGGCACCAGCTACACGCACCGAGGCTGGTGGGTTTGAACCTGGCCCTGGCCTGCTAAACAACAGTGACAACAACAACAAAAAATAGTTGGGCCTGTAGTCCCAGCTACTTGGGAGGCTGAGGCAAGAGAATCACTTGAGCTCAAGAGTTTGAGGTTGCTGTGAGCTGTGATGCCATGGCACTCTATCGAGGGTGACATATTGAGACTTGGTCTAAGAAAGGAAGGAAGGAAGGAAGGAAGAAACTGTCAACTCTTGCAACAAAACCATGAAAAGGAATTACATTTCTAATCATCTTTGATCAAGTGGAATAGTTACCATGAGCAAAATTTACCTTCCAGAGCTAAAAAAATTTATGGACAAGAAGTTATCATTGAAATTAAATGGTGGCAGACATGTCCAAGGAATATTGGGGATTTGATCTGTTTATGAATCTTGTGATAGATGAATGTGTGGAGATGGCAACTAGTGGACAACAGACCATTATTAGAATGGTGGTAATATGAGGAAATAATATCATCATGTTAGAGACCTTGGAACGAGTATAAATAATGGCCGTTCAGCAGAGAAATCCATGTCCCCTCTCCAATGAGCCTGTTTTACTATGATGTCAAAATTGGGTCTTGTATATTTTCATATTCAACTTTTTGTTAAATAAACTTTTCTAATAGTAAGGTTGGTGCCTGTGGCTCAAAGGAATGGGACACCAGCCCCATATGCCAGAGGTGTCAGGTTCAAACTCAGCCCCGGCCAAAAACTGCAAAAAACCCCCCCAAAACAAAAAACAAACAAACAAAAATCCTGAAAAGGAAATTCTGATAGTGAATTCTAAAATCCACAACTATTCATTTTCATATTCTTAGTGGTTGATGTATATAAATGGTAAAGGTTTGGGCGTGCGTGGCTTTTGAAGTAGAATCCAGACTGTATCAATTCTAATTGGCTGTGAAGTACAGGATGTTAAAGCAATAAAGGCAGGGTTTTGGTCATTTCCAGTTAAAGAACTGTGATGAGGATTGGAATGTGCTGGATAGCTTAGAGTTGATAGATTCTGGGGCTAGTTTGGTGCATTACCTGATTTGGTCTGTAGCCATCTAGAACTATCCAGTAGAAACCTAAGTTCCTAAGGGGCTCCAGAGTTGGTCTTGGCTCCCAAAGAACATTAGAACCAGGGAAGGTCTATGTCCACGCTCATGAGGCTTGTTCTCTGTCCTAGTTATCTGTTGCTATGTAACAACCAACCTCAAAGCTTAGTGACTTAAGACAGCTGTCTGATTTTCTGGATTGACAGGGCAGTTCTCACTTGGAATGTCTCATGAAGGGTCAGTCCTATGTTGGTAGGGCCCAGAATCACCTGAAAACTTCTCTCCCGTATCTGGTGACAAGGTTTGGATGGCTTGAAAGTTGGAGTTGGTCAGGCAACTCCTTGTCACATGAGCTTCCTCACAGCAGGGTGGTCTCAGGATAGGTGGACTTTTACATGGGGGCTGGTTTCTCCAACTGCAGGAGTTCCAAGGGACAGGAAGTGGAAATTGCCAGCCTCTTAAGACAAAGATCCTAAAACTGACACTGTGTCACTTTTGCTATTGGGTAAAGCAGTAAGAGCTGCCCATATTTACCCAGAGGAGACAAAACCCTCAGGTTTTGAGGGATGAGTGTCAGAGAACTTGGGGCCACCTTTAATCTTTCACATTCTCCAACCAGGATCAAAGGGTTTGTTCTTAGTTGGACATTATCCTAGTCTGACCTCATACTGAGATGTTTTGCATCCATGTAGCTCTTTACATGTTAACAAGACAGTTCATGAATAGTGTCTCAATTTGTCCTCACGATTATCTTTGAGATAGTAGGTTGGATAATGAGGAGCCAGAGTATGGAGGTTAAAAGCCTAGAGTCACACAACTTCCTAGGGACAGAATTGAGACTTACATCTGAATCTCTTCACTCAGCCCATGCAAAGGAATTCTTGTTTGTTGGTTTGTGTGTTTAACCAGGTCACTCTGCTCTCAGACACATATTAGAGCTATATGAGATAAAAGCTCATTTCTCTTTAGCTGAAAATTTAGCCATAGGTCTTTGCAGATGAAGTTCAAGCTGATGGCAAAGGTAAGGAAAATATGACTGCTGCAGCCCCGTGCTGTCAGTAGGGGCTTGTAAAACCACTATATTGTCCTTTACTCTTGGGAAACTCTTTCCGAATCCTCCAGCGGCAGCAGCTAGGTAGGATGGCAAAGTCAGCCATGTCCTGGGAGCCGAAGCGCCAGCTGGTGTAGCACCTGTAGGCACAGTGCCGTAGCCGGCTGTTGGTAGACTCTGCATCTAGTGCCAGCAGGGGCTCCTGATAGAGCAGAAGGAATTGCAAGACATGTCTGGACAAGATGAGCTTCCTGAATGGCTCTGAGGTGGTGATGCAGGCTCCTGGCTTTTTCCGGCAACATAGCTCCTCCAGGCACCTGTGGCTCTCAGGGAGTTGGGACGGGAGGCAGCTTCCGCATTGGCACCATCCTGGGCTGTCCCTGGACCTAGGAGTTGCCTCTTTGTGAAGCAGCTGCATCTCCTCTGCTTGTTCAGGCATGGAAGGTGGGTCGTGGACAGTCAGGGGGAGCTTGGACAAGTCTGTGAAGTCCATCAGGGGTCTCTGAAAAAGTCAAGTATCCAAAATCATCAGTAACAGTTGGGCACGGTGGCTCATGCCTGTAATCCTTGCACTCTGGGAGGCCGAGGTGGGTAGATTGCCTGAGCTCACGGGTTCAAGACCAGCCTGAGCAAAAGTGAGACACACCACCCACCCCCACCCCCAGCTGCTGCCGTCTTTAAAAGTAGCCAGGTCTTGTGGCGGGTTCCTATACTCCCAGCTACTTGGGAGGCTGAGGCAAGAGAATTGCTTGAGCCCAAGGGTTATGAGCAATGACACCATGGCACTCTACTGA